CACAGGTAGGTAGAGGTGATCGTGGAACAGTAAAAATGTTGTTGCTTAAGATTTTTAATTACTCCTTACGTAGAACTGTATTTCTCCTAGGGGTACATGCATGCAAGACTTCGGTATTTTCTGTAGGGTAGCTTTGGCACTGTGAGGTGGATTAGCACTTTGCCTCCCATTTTGACTGGTTATACAGCTATTTTTGGAGGAGAATAAAGCCAGGCTCAACCCTCTAGAGTACATTTTCTGTTCTCTCATGCCTCAGATATCCTGTTACTGCCACATTCTGCCCATATCCAATTTATTGATGGAGAAGAAGCAACAAGGTGGTGGCATCTTTTCTCTCCAGTCCAGTTCTATCAGCAAACCTGGTCATACATGGGAATGAGGGCAATTCCTACTTCATCCTTCACAAGCATTCACCTGCAGGATCTGTATACGAACAGAACTAGATCCACTGATAGGCCCTTTTAACCATATAGGGCTCATATTTTATGCATTAAAATGGAGAAGGAAGAACAATGAAATAATATGACAGGCAGGAACAGAAGTTATTATCATCTCCCATGGAGTATCAGCATGTTTTGAAGCATGAGATTTGATTATGGCTGTCAAAACAATGCCCACTAACACTAGGGGATAGTAATAAGGTTCATAAAGGAGTATTAAGAGATAAAAACCTTTTAAAAATCCTTTTTTTATCCTAAGGAATAAAATCCAAATGTCAGCACTACAAGCTCACCCTGGGCTCTAACTGTTAGTTCTTTCCATAGATCATCAAGAGTGAGAGAAAAATCTGCCGGTCAAATTTAGGCCAAAATGTCTTCCTTTATGCATTGCATCTTATGTCTCCAGGGCCATCAAATGATGCCTATGGTGACATTTGCACAACTCATTTACAGCTTTATGCAGCTCTGAATGGAGCTATAATGTTAATAGAGTGTTTTCCAGGCTTAGATGAATTTGGGCTACAATGTTTATGAAAATGAAAATGAAAATCCATAAGGTTCAAAGGATCCAGAAGTTGCTTGACACTTTAGGCTTTGCAATGGTTTCTATCATGTGAGCTATCTCTTCACATCAAGGAAATTTTAGCATGCTGTGAGTGTCACTTATGACATACACATAAATATGTCATGCTGCGAAATCCACTCTGCTGCTGTGTCTGTTGATTTTGATGAGCAGTTTTCAGGTTCTTTGGTGACAGTGGTTAAAGCCTATTTCAGAAACCATGCAAGACCAACGGTTATTTTTTTAATCTGGCTTCAGATTTACAGTCATTCAATACAGTTGTGTTTTTTCTTTTAACCTTTACAAGATGAGGTTTAATCAATAACTCTATTCTTTCTCAAAAAAGTCCCCAAAACAAAAATCCTCCTGCTCTTTCTCATCAGGAAAAGTCTTTCATTTGCCAGAGCAAAGCAGGGAAGACTTCAGCTTTCTCCAGAAGGCAAGACTCTGAACTTGCAGAAATGCAATTTCTCTATAGCTTTTGCTGTACCAAGCCATCTTTGGCACAAAGAGTCTATCAGTTCTGGTCGCTTAAGAAAAGTTACATCAGCAACCATCAAAGAAGGCAGTGAAGCTTCTCAACCTGTGCAACTCTGAAAGCCTGCTGCTTCCCCATCTGCTTATGCTCATCAGCACTAGCACTGCAGACTGACTGCACTTTCCATTCGGGAGTTCAGGTGTCAGTGTTTTTCATGGAGAATGGCTAGAGGAGGAGCATAATGCTATTTGCATTGTAACATCAGACCTGCCACCACACAAATCTGGGCCATCAGTAAGGGGTAAGGAAAGGAATAACAACTGATTTTTACTCATCTATGGAAACAGAAAAGTGCCTAGTGAGATTTTTAAAAGCAGCTGTTCTAAGTGGTTTTGAAATACTGCCTGCTGTCTATCTCAAGCTTTTGATACTTTGCAACTTGTAGTCTTGCTATGGAAACTTTTGTTCCTGAACTGAAGTTCTCAGTTTGACTCTTGGGGGGATTTCCTCTTCTTGCTGGTGGCCATTTTCTATCATATAAAAAGCATAAAATATTAGCAGCCTGACTTAAAATTTGGCAGCAAGTGCATGTCTCCTTACATTCCTCAACATTTAATTCAAACTACTTACCATTGTAAAGTGTAACATATGTCCTCTTTGCAAGTCCTCGTTTTACTGCTCATTAATCTATTTTCCTTAACAAGATTTTCAGTGACCTAATGGCTAATAGTCCACTTTTCTTAGTAAATTATTTAACTTACAGCATATTTGCTTATCAGGATTGATAGTTAGGCTAGAATGGAGATACAGAAGAGTCCAAAGCTATTCAGAATAAAAAATTGTTTGTCCTTTCATTGTCTTATAACATAAGAAGAAAGGGTACTATTATTTTTTTCTGCTACTGGTGTACCCACTTCCAAAGAGGCTTTGGGTTCTGCTGTGCTAAGACAGCCCTCAAGAGAATAGTCTAAGCAGTTGTGACAAGCAAGAGAAGCACTTTTAGTCCTGTTGTTCTGATATTAAAGCAGAACAGATAGACTTGTCTGCAATCATGCAAGAAGCCAAGGTTGGAACAGCACCTTGAAATTAGGTTGCTGCTTGTCAGATCTGAATTTTCATCACAAGCCTGCGTATATGTATTTGTCTTTGAGCATACTATATATAATATTGCACCAGACCTGGATAATATTGCAGCGGATCTGGGGTATATAATATTGCACTAGACTTGGATGAATGCTCGCTCACAGAGTTGTTTCTGCAAAGCAATTCCAAGCGCACTGAATGCAGACCTCTCTGAATACTTTGCAGTCAGCTCTGCGCAGCGTGTTATCAAAGCGTGGAATTCACTGCCATAAGAGGATATTGAGTCAAAGGCTGTAGCTGAGTTTCCTGAAGGGCTGAAAACAGGCTGATTAGTTTAGGCAAAGGGACCGCCTTTCTGCTTTTGGTTTTGGTTTGAACAGGGTCTATGGCTGCTGGGTCCAATGGTGGGTGCTGATGCTGAGCTGTCAAATAGGCAATTTTCCAGTTGCAGCTTTCACTGGGAGAAGAGTCTCTTTCCACTTACTGACTTTTTGATTGTTTGCCCAGGATTGGTAGGAAGAGATTTTTTTCTTGCTCAGAAGAGAAACTTCGTCAGAAGTTTCTCACATGACTTTTGGCATATGTGTTGTTCGCTAAAAAGAAAGCACGTACTAGGCTAGACAGGAAATCTGTTCCTTTGCACTTTCATTTCTAACAGGGCTAGTGAACTCGGCATGCAGAGTAGCTGTGATGATGGTACAGCTAGGGCTACAGAATTTTAAAATCATTTGTACTCTAGCAAAGAAAAATACGGGGATAAATAATGGGAAGGAAAGACAAGACAGAAACCACCCATGAGGTCAGGTGTTTAGGTATTTTTGGACTGCTAACACAGTGATCTTAAGTGAAGATAATGTATTATGCAGTGAAAAGCTAATGAGACCAGGTCTGTTAAACAGGGACTTGGTGTTACTTGCTTTGGAGTGCTTCAAATTACACAGGCCTGGGTTGTATTTGATCACCTCTCCTGCTTTGACAAAGTGAGCAGCAGGCTTTTATATAATGTACATGATTATAGAGCGCAGGGAACAATCCCGCACTGGCAGGGGGAGGGAAGCCGATGACATAACGGGTCTTCTCCATCTCGAAGTTCTGTGATTCATCAATTAAATTAATGCAGTGGGTTAAAGCAGCACGAAAGGGCAACTTCTCTGTAACACGCTGCCTTCTGATTAACTCTTCCCTCCCAGTCACAGGCACGCCACTCAGATCCCACTGCGATGTGCTCGGGAGACTCCGTCGGTGCAACCCCATCCATCAGTGAGCACACGGCAGGCTGGGACGGATGGTGACAGCACGGTGCCCGCGACCCCCGCTCCGTGCCATGCCGTGCCGCGCCGCGGGGGCGCCGGACACTGCAAGCGCAGCCGCCGCCCGCCGCGGATGCAGCAGCGAGCTCCGTGCGGGGAC